GAAATCAGACAGGGGGGACAGGAGCAGCTTCTGACAGTCAGAGAGGTCTGCTCTTAGCCCCATGTCTGCTCCATGAGGTAGCAAATGTCCTCCCAGAGTGCCAACAAAAAAAAAAAAAACGTAACCAGGCAAACACAGAAAGAATATTTTTCCTTCAGTAGGGCAGATGGGTATTTTGAAAATAGTACCTGATTTGGGGGAAAAAGATTGAGTTAGTTATTAGACACTGGAACAGGTTGCCAGGGAGGCTGTTGGATACCCCAAGACTGGCATTGTTCAAAGCCAGGTTGGATAAGGCCTGGAGCAGGCTGGTCTAGTGGGAAGTGTGCCTGCCCATGGCCTGGGAGGCTGGGACTGGATGATCTTTAAGGTCCATTCTAACCCTTAAACATTCCATGATTATATGACGTGACTGCTTTTATGCTAGGCTTTCTCAGAATGAGAGATGGGGGAGTTAAGTAACCCTCAGTGCAGTTCCTAAGCATGCTTCGCTTTCAAGAAAGGGGATGTAGTTTTTCATGTCACTCGGTAGGAAATCACTTCCCGTATATTGTCCACCAGTTCCGCGCTGACGTCACAGGAGGAATTGTGCTAGGAAGTTAGGACACCAGAGTCTGTCTATCAGATTCCAAGAAAACATTCAGTATGTAAATGTTAGTTTTGTCACATAGCCCATGTTGCTGACAACCTGATCTCAAGAGAACTATCCCAGAGAAATAACTAATTAGTAACCTCTACACAGTGGGGAAACATGAAAGTAATAAAGAATAGTTCTGTAGTTGAGATAGCAGAAAACTGTGGTCTCAGAAAGTGGGGAAATCTCTGCCTGCCTTCCCTCAGAAGTGTATGGGTTTAATGCATGGAGCTGCACCAGTCTTGAAAAGAGGCTGGATGAATGGAGATGACCGCACCCAAATCTTGGCACCAAACCCAAGTTTGATCATTGTTTGCACAACTCAGGGTTTTCTGTTTTGGTCCTGAGAGGTCTGTGCTGCTCAGGCATGCTCAGGTCTGAGTTGCTGTGCGCCTTGTATCCATCTCAGCACTGCGCCCAGAAACTGGGAAGCTCAGGGCCAAATCCTGCAGAGCAGGAGTAGCTGGAGGGCTGCTCTATGACCACCTGAAGCATAGGGCAAGCCTGTCACTGAAGAGGAAGAGGCAGTGGCATGGGAAGGGGCTCAGAAGCTGAGCTGAGTTGGAAGTTGAACTTTGCAACTCAGGAAGGAGGCAAGAGAGTCCACAGGGAGGGGGTGGCATTTCAAGCATGTTCCTTCATTTAGGCTTCTCTGGAGGGCTTTGACTCACCTTCTGAAGGTTTCTAGTTCTGCCCACACAATGTGTCAGGAACCTGCCTTATGTTGGATTTTGGGTGCTGCTTTATCAGGCTTCAGTTTGTGCCTTCACTACCAAATCTGAGGAGTATCTAACCCACAATGTCAGGTTCCTGAGGAGCCAAAGCCTAAACTCATGAAGGCATAGTAAATAATGTGTGAGATTTTTACCAAAATCCGTATAGGAAGTGCTTGTGAGACTGCGTTTTCATTTCCTCTTTCAGATTGCGTGCTCTCATGATGCGTAATGCAGAAGTTACTGCCTCCCTTCAGGGACTTCAGAGACTCCCTCAGCAATGCTCTCTGCCATGCTGTGAGGAAGCCTCCCTTTTGCTGAGGTATCTGTTCCTGGGAGGAGAATGATTTCACCCCCAGGCTGAAATGTGTCTGGGCGACCTACCTGATTTCCCCTATACTGCCCAGGAACTCAGGGGAAAGCAAATAGGCACATCCCAGTTTTTGCAACACACAGCTGGAATCTTGACCACATACATTTTTCCTGCCTCCCTTTGAAAATGATACCAAAAAAGAATCAGGCTCTTTTTTCACAAAATAAGTATATTTCTTCTTGTGTTTTGTTTATATGTCTGTTGCAGTGGCTGGACATAAGCAACAATTAGCTTTATTCTGTGTCATTTAATGATCATCTGGGACAGGAGAAAGGCTTGTAGGGTTAAAGAGTGTCATGGTTTAATTCCTAAGCATTGCACATACCACGCTATCCGATGCAGACCAAAATCTGAGGTGAGGGAATCTGAGAACTAAAAGGAAATCAGGCAGGGGGGACAGGAACAGCATCCTTCCTTAAACTCAACCTCCTTCCTAACACCAGCAGCTTTCTCTTTTCTTCAAGAGGGACAAAAAGCAGTGGATTAAGAGGAAATGTGACTTTTCTTGTAGACTGGCCCATGTCAAGACCCTGGGTAATGTTATTTTACATAATTTCTTATAAACCCTTAGAGTTGCTTGTGGTTTAAGACTTTATTTTTGCTCTCAGGCTACTTCTCAATGCAAAAATAAATTGCAAGCCTTTGCTCCGCCCCCATAAATATTTTCTGCAACAAGGTGTTTGTTTCTGAAAGTCACAGATAATGACTCATAATGAGTTTTTAAAAAAGGAGAAGCAATGTATTTTTTAATGTATTCACTATTTTCTCACCGCCAGATGTTCTGCTTCATTGCACAGCATGAAGAAGTGGAAAGGAGCAGAAAAACTGCAGTAAGAAAGACAAAAAAACTTCCAAAAGCCAATCCAACAAACAACCAAGGATCAAGAGAAACAGGTCAGATGTCAATTTTACATCTAACTTTGGAATTACCTACATATTCATTGAGCTGAGGGTCTTTTTTTGGAGTTCCAGGTCTCTTAGAAGTGAAAAAATGGATCAAATGCATGAAGCACATGTATTACTGAGAAAGGTCTCAAATAAATAAAATTAAACCATTTTTGGGAAATTATTGGGTCAAGATAATTCAGGAAATGTAGTGGAGGGAAATGGGTGGAAATCAAGACATGTTACAGCATGTCTGTTACTCCACAGTTTTTTTTCTTTGCTGATTTCACTCAGTTCAAAAGTTGTTTATGAAGTATTTTACAGATGGATGCACTCTTTCCCAAATGCAAACTACTTAGCCAGGTGGCTTCACATCTGGATTAATCTCAACATGACATAGAGAAGAGTAGTTGCATTTTTAAATGTATGCTCTCTGTAGCAGACCTAAAATTGTTGATGATCACCAAAGACATTTATATCAGTATAAAGTATTTATTTCTCTACTTCTGACAGTTCTGAATAGTTCTGATGGAAACATTTCAGAATGTTTGGGTGTCTGATTTGCTTTATCACAATTGCAATGGAAACTTACTGCCTGATTGCTTATGCTGGTATTGGGAAACCCAAACCCAGTTAAAAACAGATGAATAGATGTTTAATGTGAAAATGAAGAAACACAAGTTCTCACAAAAACTGGTGAAGCGCAAAAGCCCCTTATTCAAAATCTTGTCTCAAACTAAAAGGAAGATTGAAGATTTTAAGAAGACGGCATTCTCAAAATGCCTTCTGTTAGCCTTCCTTAACTTCATCACTGTTGATAATCGACTGAATTTATTTCATTTTGTAGGGAAAAGAAGCAAATTTATTCACCAGCCTAACTGTGCAGCACTGCTCTACAAGCTTTGCATCAGCAGGTTTACAGCATGTTTACATAGGCTATATTCTTTTTATATTTTTGGCACAAACTGCCTTTCATCTACACATAATTTGTCTTTTTGTTTCCTATTTACTTTATCTTGTAAATTATTCGGTTGGTTTTTAATCTTTCTTTGAAGCAGTATGACTTTATCTTGGAATGCATTGTACAGTCAAATGTTAATGTGGACCAATTCATTAGCTGTCTTCAGAAAGTTTCCATCCTGCAATAAACATGAAATGCATGGCAATAGATCTGGATCAGGCAGTCTGTTGCTACTGCTTCATGGTTAGACATGGTTAGAGATAATTTCACTGAGCCCAAAATACTTGCTGAAAAGGACTTGCTTTCCACTCTGTGCCTCTGGGTTTCAAGGCTGCTTGGGAAGCCAGTGCTTGTGCCTCTGCCTGAGGACCAGAGGTTCCACTGCACTGCTCATCCAGGCCCTTTGCCTTCAGCTCAGGGACAGCTCTCCTGCTGTGCCAGTGCACTTGGGCTGCTTCAGGAGAATGGGACAGGAGTGCCCTCCCTGCAGTCTGATTGCCTGATCACAGAAAGAGGACAACCTCTTGTGCTGATGGATCCTAAAGTATAGACCGTAGACACTTGAAATCCTGAAACTACCATCACAGTTTTGCTTTCAGTGTTGTGGGATCTGGCCAGCTCAATTTGTCTGTGCTGAGAAAGGTGGGAGTCTCAATGTCTGTGGTGCCTCCACCTGCTCAGCCTCCTTTTGCTGGTAAAAGAGAGGGCATATGTGCTGATAAAATGATACTACTGATCAATTCTGACCAGAACTTCAGAGGGATCCTCACTGAATTACAACAAAGCCGTATACACCAATGTTGAATCAGCCCAAAGTGCCTGCCTTGCGTTTTTGCACAAAGTTAGTTAAACATGCATACTCCTCTATAAAGGCAGGGCCATATTCCAAGCAGGGCCATATTCCAGGTTGCAGAAAAATCCCAAATGTCATTCTGCTACCGGAGCGTGAATCACACGTAGCCATGCTGGGCAGTTGTTGCTCTGCACCTTTTCTCCTCGCACGTATTGAGCTGCTGGGCTGTGCTGTGACAGCCCCTGTAGCAGGGAGGAGGCAGCTGTAGGAGCAGCAGAGTACAAAGAGAAAGCTTTCTGCAGCCTGGAGGGTTTGCCTCCCTCCCCCATCGACAAGGTTTTTACATCTGCTCCCATAGTCACCAAAGAGAGAAAGATACACCAACCCACAACAAACCCACAGAGGCAGAGCTGCGAAGCTCTCCCCAGAAAGCTGACTTACGCTAAACCTCTCCACCGCTTCTCGTCACACTGCATCTGGGTCTGCTGTGACTGCTGCCTCCAGATGAACCAGACCCACTTGCCAGGCTACTTTGGCCTGTATGTGCAGGTGTCTCTGGTTACCTTTACAGCTTTTGGATTTTTTGTCTTCTCAATTATGTAATTGTTCTAATCTGCTAAAAAAGAAGTCTATCTGAAAAAGCCAGGAACACAGAACACAGCTCTTCTTTTTTTCTTCCTTTGTCTTGTCTAGGATAATTGACTTCTTTAACGTTTATTTTCAGCAGCCTGTTTCAGCTTCCTGCCTCTGGTGAGTTCATTGCATTTTTTTTTTCCTAGGAGTCTTAATGTGAATTGATATTCTGAATCAAATTCAATATATTTTGGTTTACTTTTGTTCATTACTTTTATTAATAAGTTTGTGAAATTTGTTCACATAATCAGTTTTACTTTTCTGCTAAATACCATCTGTTAAATGCTTGGTGTTGAGATATACGATTACACACTGGTCTGCATCTTGCATTTTCTGTATTTTCATTTGTTCCAGAGTTTTTTCCCACCTCATGTAAAAAGGCCTTATATAAAGTAGAAAAAGAGGTGTGAAAAGTTTCTTCCATGTTAACTGATATAAGAAAAAATAAAAAATGGGAGTTACTCTCAAGATGGTGGATCTGATTCTGACGCTCTTTTCTGTTGTATGAACTATGAACGCAGGAGTGATAGGCATGTATAAATCTGTAACATTTCAAATGATGGTCTTTTCCCCTATTTGTGAAGTACATTATGCTTGTGAGGAAACTGTTCTACTTCATCTTAAATATTCCCAAACAAATTTAGGTGAAGATTTTATTGTGAGAATTTGAGAAACACATTCTTAGGCCTGGAGCGAGATCCAAAGTATTTTTAATTTGACAGCATATCTGTGGCTGGCTCTGGCTCCGGCAGCTGCCTGGCCCTGCTGGGCCTGACAAATGCCTGTGCCACTTTCTGAGATGGAAGATTTCCATTTAAATGGCCACGTCTGTAACTCTGTGTTCAGGTCACTCCCATGGCTTCTTCTCTGCTTTCTGATCCAACTGTGGCATGCTTAGGGTGTGGAGTCCCCTTACAGAGCAGTATGTGTGTATGTGCTTGTGTGCACTTCTGTGCACACCCATTTCCAGATTCTCCTCACAAACCCTCCATCTTCTGATGCTCTGGTGTGATGGAATGGTCTTGTCACATTGCCAACGAGATGCAGTTAATCTGAAAGGTGAATGAAGATAAAGCACACTGAGGCTGGAACCATCTCTCTGACACAAGTCCCTATAAAAAATCTGAGTGTAGATTTAAGATTTTCTAACTTCTCCTTTCAGCTGTGTTTCCACCTTTGGATGGGGCAGGAGTTGAACTGTGGCATCTGGCAGAAGCCAGCTTTAATGTGGGATTTATCCTGAATAAAATACTTGAGGAAGAAAAAGGTAGGGTAAATGAGATAAGTTACTTGTTAACAGGCATATCTGTCAGCAAATTTTGGTGTCTGTTGCTGTTGGAATAAGGTGGGATTGTGCTTTATATTGTGCTGCTTCATATTCCACATTTTCAACCCCACCGTTTATGTCAGTGTGTGGTGTGTTCATGGTTTTCCAGCAGGAAGGTCCATGTGTGTATACTTACTTGGCTTTAGAATGGGGATTGACGTAGTTTTTCTGAGACCAGTCTGAAGATCTATCATACAAATGGAGTCAAATCTGCCAGAGAAAGTGGGTACAGACTTCATGTGAATACCATGTTTGAGATTTGGGCAGTAACTGCAGGGTCAAAGAGACACGTGCACTTGCTTCCTGATAAGTTTAGAGAGTAGGTCTTATTGAGACATAATACCAAGTCTTGCATTCTCCAGACTGGGTGCTGCAAATCAGGAAAATCTGTAGGTTTGTAGTTATAGAGAATTGGTGTTTTTATAAGTAATATGTACTTACTAAGTTCCAGAGCAAAGAATTAAATTTAAAAATTGGTCTGATTTTCATGTATAGCAAGATTCATAGGCCATCAGCAGGGCAACATGGCTGTAAATTACTGTAATTTAATCTCATTTTAAGGTCATTTTACTGTACCAAAGCAGTGTGAAATAATCTCATAGCAGAAGAGTATCAGGCTTCAAAATGGAGAGACTGATGCTAAAGTCACATTGCTGGTAACAACTGCTAGTGCCAGTGATGTTAGGGAAGTAATCTCTTGTACAGTGAGGGGCAAGCCATATAAATCCTCAAAGAGGTGAGTGGGTGATCTGCAGCACACCTGGAGCACACAGGAAATGAGCAGCCAGCGTGGTGGCGGTCTCACAGGCTGTGCCCGTTTTGTAGAGCAGTGGGTCTGTACCAGCGGAAGATCCCGAGGAGCTTTTCTCGGTGACGTTTTCTGATAACCAGCCAGGAGGACACCCAGGCAGGAAGATGAAATTCTGCTGTTTCTCCTCTTGCTTTTGCTGTGCAGCTCTAGATGTATAGCAGCAGGTGGGTTAGGCACTTTAATGTAAAAGATTTTCTGTGAAAATTACCTCTTAACCCCCCATTTTCTTTATGAAATTTTGGTGCTGTGATTCAGTAGTTTTCCCTAACAAACACTAGAATGTTTCTGAATGCACCATTCAAGTGATTAATTTGATTGACATTGACCATAAAATGAAAAATTGGAGTTTTTTGTATAGTGCTTTTGATTATTGTTTGAAAAGAGATAAAATAAGTAGCTGTAAAACTTGCCTTTTTCAAGGTCTTGGTGTAACATTTTAGGCATCACACCACACAGCTTAACATCATTCCCAAATTACGTTCTCATGTTTTTGGCTAGTGGTGTGTGGTTTTATTAAATCTGCAGTTTTCAACTGTTTCCATGCTATGACACAACTTACAGCTGAAAAATATTTTGAGATAACCCCAGCACAACAATTAAGAAAGGAAGCTGGCTGCAGCTGTCTCAAGCCCACTGTTAAACCTTAGAATGCTGGGCAATATCAAACAAACACAAAAAAGCAATGTAACAACAAAATTTGTGGGCTGTAGCCTGCCATTAGCTCTTCTCCACAAAACCAAGTAGAGTTTCATATTTGCTTAGCAGGATTTAGTTGTCCTTCAATTTTTATGTCAGTGAAGAACTGGAAAACCTTTCCAATCCACCAGAAGGATCGGGGTACAATGGAAGGGGAGACTTATGGAGCCTGTGAAACCTCTGTAATGCAGAGTGTGAGTACTGGAAATCATGGCTACAAACCTTGGTGTATCAGGTCTAATGTGAGCAGCTGGCAAAGTGGCAGGGAGCAATAGTCCCAGCAGTCACAGTCTGTCACTGCTGACAGGGTGGCTGGAGGATAGGGGGGAGCATGGTCTGAGCACTCTGTGCGTGCGTGCATTTCCTGCAGAGCGGGTATGGGAGGGGTTTGTGCCCAGCCTGGCTTGTGCCCGTGCCCTGTGTTTATCACAGACCCTTTATCCTCTCCCCTGCACAGCTGCCTGCTGCATCTGTGCTGTGTTGCTTTTGCACAAGCGATTGCGTTTGCTCTTTGGTTACAGAAACCAAGGAGAAGTGTAAATTGCTAAGGGATGAAGGTGGGCTGAACTTGGCATGCTTCTCTTTACCTGACAAAACATATGAACCTGCTGGAAACCACACGAGGATTCTGCTATGGTTTGGGGATTTCTCTACGGGGAGCCATGGAGACCTGTCACGTAGGAAAGACCCAGCATGTGCTGGAAAAGGAGCAAACACCTCTCCTGGCAGAAGCTGGCACTGTGGGCTGTGGTTACTTACTGTGCATGCTGCCGCTTCTCACACACAAGCGTGAGTACCAGTAACTGACACTTGCCAGCTTGAGGTTGTTGTACCATCTGGTGATACCACTTCTCCTCATGAGTGACAGTGTGTTGCTTTTAAAGGTTAGACTGATTTATGTCAAAATATAGGTATAACTGGCTCTCCTAATACAAAAGCGTGAGACCAAGACCCCTGTGTAGCTGAGGGTCTCTTTTAATTGCTTCCTGTGCCATGGTCATTGGAAGAATATGAAACTTTTCAAACTTGCAAGAAAACTGTTCTTTCCTTTCATTGATAGGCATGCCAGTGGACACAGTCTTCAGCTTGCCTCTTTTATTTCCATCAAATGACTGTGCTTAAAAACTGGTAGAGACTTTGGAGTTTGAAGTTACTGAGCTACTGATATACTCAAATATCTATTAATTAACCTATATATTAATTATCTATCAAATTATCTGCGTGCTTTTTACTCACTATAAAAATATGTTATGAAACAGCTGTCATAAAACCCCTTAATGCATTTTCTTTATTTTCCATCAATTTAAATGCGAGTTTTTAAATTTCCTTCTCTTTCAGTAGAGTTTTAATTCTGGATGAAAAGCTGTTGGGTAAAGTATCTCTGAGTTTGAATCAAGTCCATCAGGATTCAAAAATAAGCATGGGAAATGTTCTCATAATGCTCAAACATCTTTCTCCTAAAATATCTCTCTTTTCATATGTGTGGTTGTTTTCATTCAAAATATGTAAAAATCAAGAAAATCAAGGAAAACTTTCTATGGTTCCCACTGAAGAACTCTGCATTAAGATTTACTGTAGCATGGGGATTTGCATGATCTTTAAACTGACTGAAAGCCAAGTAGATGTCAGCTATAAATATATGAAATAGCTTCTCAAAATACTCAGCTGAAGAATGAGTGAGAAGGATTTATGTATTACGTTTGGTTGTAGAGTCTTTTCTCCTCTTAACCTATTCCATATGACCTGCTGCTGTCTGCAGTGTCCTATGTTTTATATAAAGGTGGCAAGAGATCAAGATTGTAATGGAATCGGAGGAAAGTAAAGGAAAACAGGCACTAAAATATATATTCTGCTCTGGCATATGGTTGGTGTAAGATATAAATCAATATAAAATCTAAGCTACCGGGAATAACTTGTGGTAATTCTAGAAAATAGAAAAGAAAAGAAAAGAAAAGAAAAGAAAAGAAAAGAAAAGAAAAGAAAAGAAAAGAAAAGAAAAGAAAAGAAAGCATGTTCCTTTGAAATTGGGTTTTAATCATAACTATGCATGGAACGTAGGCAGTTTGATGAAGGCAAGTATGCATGCCCATTTTTTTAATCTAATTTTATCTGCTTCAATTAAGGAATTCTAGAGAGGCTGCATGGTAAGAAAAAAAAATCCTGCTGGTATAATGGATACGTATTATTTCTTATTTTATCTGTATGCTGGATATAGTGCATGAATACTAAGTCATGGCATAGATTGTGGAAGACAACTCCTTTTTAAAAATGTATTGAAAAAATCAAAAAGATAAAAATCATAAGTCAACAAATGCAGGACAAGTTATGATAATTGTATGTTTTATATCACACCTGCTACTTGAAAAGTAATTGAAATTATTTCGAAGCAAGCTCTTCAAATTTTTAACATTTTTATGTACATGTGTGCACACAAAATTTAAGAACGATATTAAAGATGGCAGTTTCCCTGCTATGTGAAATCTGGACTATGATTTTAAACACTGATATATACAGAGACAAGAAAAATGTTTTTGTTGCTGGCAATCCTAAGGGGAAAAAGCTAAAATTATCTGGGAGTTTCTGTTTTATAAAATAAATACCCAACCAAATTATTGTTGCTTCTTTTGCTAGCTTTTCTCATGAACGTCCAAAGTTTGAGATTCATCACAGCAAAACGAATAGTGACATGCAGTAAATATGAGTTCTTCCTAAATTAAAAACAAATCATTATGTTTTAGCAAGAAGTCATTATTGTATATTGTTTGATCAACATTATTACTACTCAAAACACCTGTACATCCGACACTTTATTCTTCTCACAAAATTTACAAAAATAATCTTCCATGGAACACTGGTTAATTATGTTCTAATATTTTCCTTCTCCGTCTTTACCTCCCACTGAAATCAAACCTGTGCAAATACATAATGAATTAATGAACATGGAGAACCTCCTTCTTCTCCCGCTGATAATAGGGGGAGAAGATGTAGGCTTGAGAATCTCCTTATTTTGTGCTAGGCATTTTATAAAATCAGAGCAAAGTTAAACCTGAAGAGACTTCTGATAGTAAAGTTGGAGATCTTGCAAGGGATCCATTGAGGAAAATGCAGAAGTGGGAGGGCAATTTTTAAAGACATTTTAATATTGAGGAGCATGTTATATCACCTGTAGCATTCAGGTATTGGCTTGTAGCTATAATGTTACTGCTGATTACTTAGTAGCATTTAAGGGAGCCAGTCCAGAAGATCAAGTAGTGTGCAAACAAGGGAGAGGAGTGCAGTCCCACCGCAGGTTAGAGCCAAACCATGCAGAAGTCAGCCTTCTCCACTGCAGTGGGCTTGGCACGGGCCCTTTAAGAGGGGAAGCCCTTTTGACTGCAAATGCAAGAGTGTATATGGAGATGCCAGTTTGTTTTACTAATTTATCATGGCACAC